GTGAAGCCGCTTGTACTTTTACAGTTTATGTATGGGCAAATAACGAGACAACAATATGACAGCTCGCACTGTTTGGGATTCTCAATTTCCTCAGAGCTCCCAGCGGATCTACGTCAGCCCGAGTAAATCAGCCGATCTCTCCTGGTGAAAACCAAGTGATTTTGGAAACGAGCTGATTGTGCAGCTGCAGACTGAGGGCAAAGGAAAGGCAGCGCAGAGGAGAATAAACTTAAGTGTGAGAGGAAAAGAGCGAAAACTAACAAATAGGCCCCAAAAGAAACGTCGTTAGAGGTAAAAAACAAAAGGAAGTCAACAATGCATCCGTAAATGTTTCCTCTGGTATTTAATACGGCCATCTCCGTTCTCTCAGGGCGCTCAAACTGTAGCGTCTCCTTGTTGCTCTCTCCTCGCTGCCTCCTCATTCATTAATCTATCCATCCATCCCTCCTCTGCTCCTTCCTTCATGTTGATGTGTTCTCTATGCTAATGAGATGTAAAAGGAGGTGATGTTTATGTAAATGTTCTGTAACAGCCTCGGCGTCAGTCCCGGGCGAGAAGGCAAAGCGTCTTGTCTCGCACTCAATCACTCGTCGAGTAACGGCGGTCGTGGCACCCGTCTTATGGCTGCAGTACAATGTCTGCTTAATGAGGTGTAATGGTGTATCTGCACAAACACACACACACACACACACACACACACACACACATCCACACACACACCAACAGGCCAGCACAAATCACCAAAGTTATTATGCTAAACAGCCCTGCTATCTCACTTTAATCACTTCCACAGAGTTGTGAGATGTTTAACATTTCTTGAGGGAGGAACATTAAAATCCACGCGCTCAAGTGGGCATTTTTCTGCATTTAAAAGCAGCGCAGGATGAAGAAGAGCAATATTTTGCTATTCATGTCTTTGCTATAAATGTTGTACGGCGAGAAGCAAACGAGGATTCTGCTTCGGGGCAGAGCTCCTGGCCAGCGGGGACGTGAACCGGCTGAACATGTGAGGCTGTAAATGCTGTTTAGGAGCTGCTGTGAGTCCTCAGGCTGGACCACAGCTACAGCACACGTGTTCATTGATCAGATTCTGCTTTCACTTACATGTAAACTAATTCTAATTATTTTATGTCAGATAACTGCATAAAGAAGGGAACGAACGCTTCTGCAGAAAGAGCCATGTGATGACTGAGATGTGCAACTGATGCTCTGCAAAGTTTGGAGCGTCCCAGTTTCCTCACATCAGCATCATGTCATCAGCAGCAGAGAGAAGAGAGTTTTTATTTCTTTTTAATATTTATGAGATGATGATGCATGTGTACTTTAAGTCTGTATTTCGTAGCAGAACCTCGTCAATAAAGCCAATCCAAACCAAAAAGTGCAAAGAAGTGAAGCAGCAACAAGCTGTTTGCTTTCACAGAGAACAGGAAGCGCTCTGCTCCACCAAACCAGCATCAGAACACGAATAACGGGATTTCTTTTGCTCTCCAATCCTCCGACACAAACCTGTAGATCATGTTGACTGGAGACGGTTTCTGTTCATTTGTCCTCTGTGTAGCTTTAGCGACTGCTAGCCTGGACTGCCTGTCAACAGTCTGAGATAAAAGATTTGACAAGACATTAATTAGACTTGGACCTTAACAAGTCTGGGAAAACGACCAACTTGGATGTGGATGTGAAGCGGTGCTGAACCATAAACACACACACAGCGGCGAGCTGGCAAGCCGGTCCTCCTTTTCCTCCTTGTCATCATCTTCTCAATTTGTTACTACTCAAGTGTAACGGTCAGAGATCAGTCTAGCAAGAAACACTGGCATCAGCATGTGAGTGACGACCATGAGTCTGATCATCCATCACCTCCCAGCAGACTGTTTCTGTCTGTGGTGGATGGCCTGCAGCTCGGATCCGTCTCATCGCTGCGTCTTCTCTAATAACTCTGAGTGAGCCGGAGCTCAGAAGTCTCCCCTACGACTATAAACTTGTTGATCAATAGCACTCTTCATCTGCAGCCCAACACATGCACACTCTCAGATCGATACCGCGGCCCTCACGTCATCCTTAATGAATGCATTAGGGTCGTAGGGCAACGTTTGTTTTTTCTCTTTCGGCTCTTTCCAGGAACCACGCCGCTGCTCTGTCTCCTTTGGAAGCGATAAAACCAGCCTGACCTCCTGGTTTCTGACAGTTTGACCCCTCGCTCTGCTGTCATGGCAACCTCCTCCCCTGAAACCAACGGCTTGAAAGGAATCCATAACGAGACACGAAGTGAACGGAACAAATCGAACGAGTGCATTTAAAATATTTTTATTTCAAATAATCTAATTTGACGGCTGTAAGCTGAAGTCAATACTAAAGACACACTGCTGCACAGAGCACGTTGTCTTCCATAAGGCCAAAGTTTTACTTCATGGGGTCTTTATAAAGGAGGCAGATGATTAAAATGAGGATGCAGTTTGTCACTTATGTTGGGAAAGCACACCGCTGGCTTTTAGATGTGACGTCATATCTATTCAGTGTTGTATAAAACAATAGTTCTGCCAATAACGTCCCTACAGATGGAGCCTCGTAATGAGCATGTTACTGGAAAACATTCAGCTGCAACAGCAAAAGATTTGTTGGGTGGTGAAGAAAATGTCCAAAGAATTTCAATGTTTTTTTTTCAATGTAAATTTGTGTACAGCAGCTGTTTTCTGTGCACACGGTACGCAGCCACTAGGTGGCGCCGACCTCGCACTCTGCCTGCGTAATAAGACGACAAAATAATCAACAGCCATCAGAAAACTGTTTGAATCAGTGACGCACGACATTAACATTTCTGGACGATGTCGATATTAAGATTTCTGATTTCGCCAATAACCGATATCACCGATGTCGATGTTCAATATTTGTTCACATCGAAAAATGAGCTGAAGTAAGAACTGTGAGAAAACTGTTCAACAGAAGCCCAGTTAGACCACAAGGCTTCTTTATTAGGTAACAGAACTAAAACATATTTAAACATATTTAACGTTAAAGGACCATTTAAGTAAAAACGTCTGTGAAACAGCAGCGACATCAAACGTAGAGACGAAGGCGCTGATGTTAGACGATCATCGGCTAAATCTGTTCATCAGACCGATACCGGTGTGGTGGCCGATGTATCGAGCATCCCTGGTTTGAATCAATGCTTCTTTGATAGACACAAGCTGCCATGAAAGCTCATGACGAGACACAAAGTTCAGCTGCATGAAGCAAAACTTCACATCCTCCCTCCCTGGCTCACAGCAGTCTGTCATATCCTTTATTAATAGAGCGTGCTAATCAGCCAATCAATAAGACATCCGACACAAGGACAGTGCAACATGTTGGCCTCTGCTGGGAGGCGTCAAAGCTCCCAGTAAACATTCCCACATGTGAGGAGGTTCTGTGACAGTTTCTAATTATAATAAACAGCCATGAACTGAGACGTGTGTTTACATGGTGCTTAAAAACAGCCTCCGAGTGAAAGTCAGTGTTTGAACTAATGACTGGATGCGTCTGTTGCTTGGTCCTCTGCAAAGCACCAATCAAACAGCCGCCATGATGAAACATAACTGGGACCGGGCCGACGCCGGCGACGCACGACCTGCACACGCCGAGCCGAGGCAGGTGGCACCGACGATCACTCCAACAGTCCATCAGCCCCAGTGTGGCCGAGTCCGTCTGTGTGCATGTGTCCTGAAGGCGTTAGCGAGACGAGCTCCTCGCTTTGTGCTCCGGCCGGTCACACGGGGGAGAGGTAAGTCGTTTCATTTCCTGGATGAAAGCCTGGTGAAGCAAAAGCCAAGGGACCTGCTGCTGACTCTCTGCAGTGCTTCCCCTCGTCCTCTCTCATTCTGTCTCCATTTATTTTATCTGTCCACTCTCCAGACCATCAGCTCCCCTCCATCTCTTTCTTCTGATTCTCTTCTCCTGCACGTCTTCCTCTCTCTGCCCACCTCCCACGTTAGGTTTTCACCTCCTTCTCCTTCAAATCCTCCTTCCATTCCTACCTTTCACTCCCTCTTACTCTCTCTAGTTTGCCCCCCTCCTCCCTCACCTCCACACAAACCACCCATGCTCTGCCGTTGCCGAGTCAGCACTTCCGTTCTGCAGTCCTCTGCAGACAAACAAGTGTGCTGATTTACACTTTTACACCCTGCCGTAACCAATTTCAGAGCGTTTCCGTTGCACATACTCTACCTTTGCAGTTCTTTAGGACTGACGGCACACAGAACACACATGCATGCGCTGCAGATACGAGCATTCATACATACGGAGGCGGAGGAATGAAGCCAGCACGCCATTAATCTCAGGAAAAGGTATTAAAAGTTGAAAGTGAACAAAAAAAAGCAGACACACAGCTAATGAAAAAAGGACATACGTGTGTGTGTGTGTGTGTGTGTGTGTGTGTGTAGCAATGGCACATTTGTCTGTTTCTTAAGCAGCAGAAAGACGGGAGACATTGATCATCATGCTTGTCTGCAGCTTGCACCGCCTAATCAGAACCATTCATCTCCCGAATCACACACACTCACACGCCGGCGCACACAAAAACACACAACCAAACTAAGATGTTCAGGGCTCTTTATTACTTTCCATTAGGGCTGGAGGCTGGCTGTAATAAAGCCGGCCTGGGGAGAGTTAGCACAGAGACACACAGCGGAGCAGGAATAATGTGCACACCGAGGTGTTCCTCATGTTGGCTGCTGATTAATATGAAGGTGAGCGTGTGTATTTTTACACGCGTGTTGTTCTATTTTTGCAAACCGTACGACTTTTGTAAATTGATGACGGCATTAAAGACATTGCAAAGCGAGGGAGACGATTCTCAAGCGTTTGATAACGTTGCAGCAACACGTAATGACCACTTATTAAAGATTAATGATGGAGTAGTAATGCAGCTGCGTCGGCTGTAGCGGAGCTGAGGGTGAGGCGGAGGGCTAGTTGGTAGTCGAGGGGGGCAGACTGGAAATGATGCATTTCTTTGTTTGCTTGTTTACCGGATATAAAGTCCTGGGCTGGGGGTTCCAGAACATACGGGTACCCTGACCCTGGAGGACAAACAGACCATATGACACAGTTAAACACAAGCACCGGTACACTGCATGAGTGTGTGTGTGTGTGTGTGTGTGTGTGTGTGTGTGTGTGCATTTCTTTTCAAGCAGTTCCCTGAAGAAGAAAGACAAACTTCGCTCCTTATCCATTTTTCTACATAACATTATTAGTTTGTGATTGATGTGGGCGCTGTGCAAACTCAGCAGCGCGACAAATGAACAAGTGGCGGAGGAAAGAGAGGACGAGGAACGCCGGAGTGATGGGAGGAGGATACGTGTTGGTGGTGATGAGACGAGGAGGAGGAGGAGGAGGAGGAGGAGGATAAAACAAGATGGCAAATGGGAGAATGGGTGGAGAAGAAGAAGTAAAAGGAAAACAGTTTAATGAGAAGGCTAGGTAATGAAGGACGCTGACTTTACGGCTCATCAAATAGGAGAGAACATATACAAACTGCCACTGGGTAATATGTGTTTATTAAATTGACTGTTTGCTAAACCGTACCCACCAACAGTGATGGTGCAGCTAAGCAGGCGCCACAAGGCGACCGTTTAAAGCCGAGGTTGTTCAGGAGCCAGAGCGGCTTTGATTTGTGCAGTAACCACAAGAACCGACGCTCTGGTACCAATCTGATGCCAAAATCCTGAAAACGTGAAAATATTTCATTTAATTTTTCTGGAATAAAAAGTTTCGTAGATGCCAAATGCTTCTCAGTGACGCCTCAAACTCATGTGAGCAGTTCAAAGACATCCCGTCTGGATCTGCGCTCTGAATATGAGGTGAGACGTGTTCGTTGTTTTAACGTTACAGCCACAACATTAAAACCACTGACAGGTGAAGATGAAGTCACCTTTCTCATCACTCTGTGGTCTCAAGCAATGTTCGGCTCTGGGTTTCCATCACAATTACTGGCCCATCGTTACTGAAGGACAGATTTTGAAAAGCTGTCTTTTAATTAAGGATTTGTAAAAAAAAAAAAAAAAAAAAAAAAAAACTTTGATTATTTTGAATAATCAACTTTTGAGAATTGCAGAAGTTCAGAGGCACTGATACCAAATATCTGATACACAACAAATGTCTCAACATCACATCAGTCATCACTAAAGGATGACATTCAGTTTGTCAGATTAAATGGAAACGAGGCCAAAGTCAGCTGGAGAACAAACATCAGAGCAGCAAAAAAAACTCCCCGACATGAAAGTATTTTCAAAACCCGACGCCACGTGTATCTCCCACAGCGATCCTGTCTTTCACAAAATGATAAAAAGATAAAAAGTTTCCTGCTTTCATCAAAGTCCGGATACAAACCTGCAAAGTATGGAAAAATATGTGAGTGTTGTGGATGGGCCCAGGGCTCACGGATGATTAGAGAGTAATAACTCAGAACATGGGGCTCAGATGGATGCAGGCAGAGACCAGCACACACACTTCAGATTATAGCAGCACAGACGAGGGGGAGGTGATGGATGGCCAACCAGGAGGGAAGTGAAGAAAGCTTAGTGGTACGAAAGAATGGAGAAGAAGAGGAGGAGGAGTGAAAGGGAAAAAAGGAAATATGAATAAAGGAGGAGCTGAGAAAGAAGGAAAACGAGGTGAAGGAGACGAGATGGAGAGGATAGAAGAAGAGGAAGGGCAGACATACAGGACCTACAAGGAGATATGAGAGGAAAGGAAAGCAGGATGGGACACAGCGAAGAGGAACCAAGGAAGAAGCTTTAGGGAAGAAGGAGGGAAAGAAACTTCAAACCAGCGAGCCGAAGATCGAAAAATATAAAAGATTTAAAATCACCAAGAAAGCAGGAGGTCGATATGTGAGCGGCCTTTGGAGTTTAATAACCATCGATTTTGCTGTGAGAATCTGAAAACCACATGTTGATCCAAACACACACAACTTAACCACGGCGTTAACACAACCCCGGCCTGCTGCAGTAGAAACACACAGCCAGCTTATTGATTTATATATCTGCACCGCGCTACCTCTGTGGGTAAGTTCTCATCAAACTTAATTAAGAAATAAATCTGCTTTTACTGTATCTACCCGCTGACTCTGTTGTTGAGCGGCTACAATGCGGTTTGATCTCTAGCCTGCAACCAAGCAGCAAATCAACCATTTACTTGGTTTCTGAGGAATTAATTAATGCCTTTAAACTTTTTGGATTAATTGTTTCTTCAGCAGTTTGTTCTGTTGCTGGAGGAGTGAAGCTCTCTCCACACGTCCTCCTCCCCGGGTCTGGCCGGCTCGCCCCCATCCTTCACCCTCGCCGTCTGGCATTTTTCAAAATCCTTCAGCCGGCGGACGGGAACTCAAACCGGGTGCAGCATTGTTCTTTAAAACCGCTCCCTGCCCATTTAGAAACTTGATGACTTTGGCAGCACAGCGAGGCCCTCGGTGAGCGTATCGCTGTTGGAACGACGGCTCGCCGCCGCTTAGTCCAGCGTCGGGGGGAAGACGGATCGTCACGTAAAACCGCCGTCACGGAAAATGAATAATGCACTCAGAGTGGGTTTAGCACAGCATACAGAGCAATACTACACCTCTGAGTGTCGCTATCAGCTGTCAATCCCTGGTCCTGATCCTCCCTTACATAACACTTGGAGCACTGTGTTCACTCCATCCAACACCAGCGGCACATTAAATCCATCCCTGGTACCAGTTCGGAGGAAAGGCAGGAGACGGGATACTTCAGTGACCGTATTGGTTTTTCTAAATCATTATTTTTTTGGCCCTTATTAGACAAGACAGTCAAGAGACAGACAGGACAGTGGGGGAGGAGAACGGGGGACGGACCTGCAGCAAAGGGCCATGAGCGGGACTCGAACCCACGCCCGCTGCATCGGGGCCTGTAGCCCCTGTACACGGGTCGCCAGCTCAACCAGGTGAGCTAAAGCCCAGGTATGAGCTAAAGCTACAACAGGTGCTGAAGGTTCCACGGACGTCATAAGTCGTGGAGACACTTGACAACGTGTGAAACAGCAACAGCAGGTTCAGAAGTTGTGCTCCTTGTCTTCTATCAGCTGAGCTTTTTACCGCTACACTCCTCCCAGCTGCCGTGGTCGTGTCCCGCCTCTTCTCTCTGGACCTGAAGCTGGACCTGAAGCTGGACCTGAAGCAGACCACTCTACGGCGTCCAATCAAGCTGTGCCTTCAGATTTTAAAAAGACTCTTTCATCCCGCGTTCGGTGGCGGTTCTTCTCTGAGCTGGTCACCCCTGGATGCTTCGATGTGGAAATAGTGTGCGATGAAGATCTGGCTGAGGGGGTGAAGGCTCAGGTAGGAGTTGTAGGACTGCTGAACATGTTGGTATCAGTGGACCATCGTTAGTGTAGCCTAGAGGTGGTTGTATTTGGGTTTAGTTTAATTTATTTTGTTAGGGGCTGTTTGACCTCGTTCTTTGAATTGAGTAGCAGCCGTTCTGCCTTCTGGCTTTTTATGCTGTGATAAAAGGAAAGAAGTCCTTTGTCCTTCCAGTAAGTCACAGCGGATCTCTGAAACACCTCCATCCTCTGCTTCTGTTCCTCCTACCTTAGACACAGGGCTAGGTCAGCATGTTGGAAACGGCTTCCGTTTCAAACTTCTATAAAACTTCTCCAAAACCACCAAAAGAAACCAAATGTGCCTCGAAAACATCAAACCGTGCAGCCATGTCTCTCACTGAGGCTCTTACTCTGAAGCTGTAGCTGATTAAAAGAACCTACCAGGACCAGACGGAGTGCACACCTGTTCTACGGTGGTTGCCCTTAAAATGGCTCGTTTTTGAGCAGGTCAGGGTGGTGCACCAGTATGTCTCACAAGCTCCCAGTGCATAAACCAGTGAGGCCCCTCAGGCCCTCTGCTGGTTGTTCAGAGCAGAACCAAAACCTTCGGTGGGGCAGCTTTAACACTGAATGCCCCGAGCTGCTGGGACAGTCTGCCTGAGGACCTGAGAGCAGCCGGACACTTTTAAACATTAAGTCCCATCTCCTCAACAAGACAAGTTCAGAGACGACGGCTGTTATTTGATCTCATTCATGGTTCATTCTAATCCAACAAACATCACGGTTCTGTCTCTTTAATCTATTTTATCTGCTGTTTATATCTAGTTTTGATTATTTACAACCTTTTCAGTTATTCTTCGTTCTGCCTTATTGTGAGCTCATCAGTCATCTGTGGAGACCTCAGACCTGCACGAGCTTTAGAAATAAAGTTTTGTTGATTGGTTGTGGAATGAAAAGCAGCTCAAAGACAGGTTTCCCTGTTTGTGAACCACATCTGAGTGTCTGTAGATGAGCATTTTGTGCGTGCAGCAATTTTCAGATAATATTGTTGGAATACAATCCTAGACAGCACTGAATGATAGCTAGTATAGACTTCTGGTGTTGAAGGAGTGTATGGCGTCACACACACACTCACCAGGCACGCTAAAACTGATGAGTTGATTCCAGTAGCTCTCAATGCTGGCTAATAACCTTGAATAAAGTTGAGTACATTTAACAATAAAATATAACTAAATACAAAAAGAATTCTTTAGAAAATGCCAACCACGGTGTGTCTGCACCATCCCACACGGCGCAGCAGCTCCATCCCACTGATGGGATTGGACGCCCTCGTTTGGCAGCGATCCCGCTCTGGCTGTGCGCTGGAATTACCGCAGGAGCTCCGATTTAGACATCTGGCACCTCGGGACTGGTTTATGAATATTAAATATGATGTCACCGTCTTATTGCTCTGAGATAGTGGTGTTATGGGTGCCATCTTGGCTCGAGCCGCCGCCCCCGAGATGACAAAATCAATGTGAGCTAACACTGTGGCTAGCGACCATCCTCTGTGCTGACACACACACTGGACCCGCGCCACAACCTCTATAGTAAGAGCAGTGGACAACAACAAGATCACCGCACACACACACACACACACACACACACACACACACACACACACACACACAATCTGCTCGAGTGGCACTGAATCAAATATTGATCAGTGGCCCAAGTCTCCTTGGTTACTTGATATATTAAAGTG